CGCCTTCCCTCTGGAATGAGCTGCCCCTGGAACTTCGTACAATCCCTGACCTCTGGTCCTTCAGACGTGCCCTAAAAAGTTGGCTTTTCCAGCAAGCCAGCCTGGCCTGAACAAAACAAATCAAATTATTGATCATTATTAATTTCAATTTTTTTTAAAAAAAATGTTATTATCAATTCTAATTGGGTTTGTTTGGGATATTCTATTTAATTTTTTTTAAAACTTTTGTATTATGAGTTTCTTTTAATGTTGTACGCCGCCCTGAGTCCTTGGGAGAAGGGCGGCATATAAATCTAATAAATTTAAAACCTAAACATAAATGCCGGCTGGGGAATTCTGGGAATTGAAGTCCACTTGTTTAAAAGTTGTCAAAGTTGAGAAACACTGGCGTGGCTATCGAACTGACTAGCAGTGCATCCCATAAGCCTCTTATTCAAGCCGATACGGCGTGATATCAGAGGGTTCGTGATGACATCATCCTAACATTATGCAATCTGTAACTTCATGATGTCCCTTATTCTCTCCTGCGAAAAACCCAAACTTCAGCTGCAGTCCATGCAACTACAAGAGACATTTGAAAAAAAATGTACTGCATTTTAGCCAAATTTGAAGAAATTGCTCAGAAAGTGGGAGGGGGGGTGTCTTCCCCCACAAGGTTTGCTGTAATTGAGCATGGAGGTTCCGTCCACTAGGGGGCACCCTGAGCTTAAGAGTTGCATTTGATAGCCAAGTTTAAAGTTTGCAATTAACCTTGTTTTTTAAACCTTGTACCCAACTTTTTTTTCCCCCTATGAAGCGATTTAGTCCATTTGGTTAACTTTTTTCGGTGCAATAAATGTTTCTGTGCATGTCTTCCCCTTCTGTGTCGTTCTCCACTCATCCCACCTCTCACATTTCTTAAAATATGATATACTTTTAACTGTCGGAAGGAAGCAACAGCAGCTGGGTGAAATCTTTTGGCAGTTGGGGGAACGAGGGCTGTTCAATGAATTGGGTGATGTAGCAAAGTGAGTTGAACCCCAACTTTAAAACAAGAATGGGGGGGTCCAGAAAAACCACGTAAAATCCAAACCACATACTTAATCGGATCTGTAGCTCCCTTTGTATCATCTGCAAAGCTTGCTTGGTGTTCGCCTTGTCTAATTTCAGTTCCTTGTGGACGTGAGTGTGATTTATATGCTGTGCGAAATCGGGCCCCTGGGCTGCTCTGCGGTCCAAGATTTTGTACAAGTGCACAAAGCGAGTGACTCAATCTCCCTCTTGAAGGGCGTGTTGGAAAAACAGCCTCATCAAAGCCTCCAGCCTCCTCCTGCATGGCTGCATGGTTCAGTATTTTGGCATGAAAATGCATTATTTCTGGGTGATGAAACATCTTGGCTTCCTGGCCTCGCATGGAGCAGAGCAAGTGAATCTGAGGGCAGAGCTTAAAGCTGATTGGGGTAGGGCTAAGGACGGCAGCCAATGGAATCACACCTAGAGTACTGCATCCAGTTTTGGTCACCACACTGTAAAACAGATGTTGAGATTTTGGAAAGAGTGCAGAGAAGAGCAACCAGGATGATTAGGGTGGGGGACTGGAGGCTAAAACACATGAAGAAGGGTTGCAGGAACTGGGTGTGTCTAGTTTAATGAAAAGAAGAACCAGAGGAGACATGATAGCAGTCTTCCAATATCTCAGGGGTTGCCCCAAAGAAGAGGGAGTCAAGCTATTCTCCAAAGCACCTGAGGGCAGAACAAGAAGCAATGGGTGGAAACTAATCAAGGAGAGAAGCAACTTAGAACTGAGGAGAAATTTCCTGACAGTGAGAACAATTAACCAGTGGAACAACTGGCCTCCAGAAGTTGTGAATGCCCCAACACTGGAAGTCTTTAAGAAGATGTTGGATAGCCATTTGTCTGAAACAGTATAGGGTTTCCTGCCTAGGCAGGGGGTTGGACTAGAAGACCTCCAAGGTCCCTTCCAACTCTGCTATTGTATTGGTATTCTCCAGAGCACCAGAAAGCAGACAAGAAGCAACGGATGGGAAATAATCAAGGAGAGAACCAGTCTGCAAATAAGGAGATATTTCTTGATAACAATTACTCAGAGGAATGAAATTCAAGGGTGAAAAGAGGAAGGTTCTACATTTAGGCAAGAAAAACGAAATGCACAGGGACAGTATAGGTGGTACCTTGCTCAATAGTAGTAACTGTGAGAGGGATCCTGGAGTCCTAGTGGACAACCATTTAAATATGACCCAGCCGTGGGCAGCAGCTGCCAAAAAAGCCAACACAGTTCTAGGCTGCGTAAACAGAGGGAGAGAATCAAGATCATGTGAAGGGTTAATACCACTTTTATTGCCTTAGTAAAGCCACACTTGGAATACGGCATCCAGTTTTGGTTGCTACGATGTAAAAAAGATGTGGAGACTCTAGAAAGAGTGCAGAGAAGAGCAACGAAGAGGATTAGGGGACTGGAGGCTAAAACACATGAAGAAGGGTTGCAGGAACTGGGTGTGTCTAGTTTAATGAAAAGAAGAACCAGAGGAGACATGATAGCAGTCTTCCAATATCTCAGGGGTTGCCCCAAAGAAGAGGGAGTCAAGTTATTCTCCAAAGCACCTGAGGGTAGAACAAGAAGCAATGGGTGGAAACTAATCAAGGAGAGAAGCAGAACTGAGGAGAAATTTCCTGACAGCGAGAACAATCAATCAGTGGAACAGAAGTTGCCTCCAGAAATTGTGAATCCCGCAACACTGGAAGTCTTTAAGATGATGTTGGATAGCCATCTGTCTGGAACGGTATCGGTATAGGCAGGGGGTTGGACTAGAAGGCCTCCAAGGTCCCTTCCAACTCTGCTATTGTATTTGTATTCTCCAGAGCACCAGAAAGCAGACAAGAAGCAACGGAGGGAAAATAATCAAGCAGAGAACCAGCCTGCAAATAAGGAGATATTTGTTGATAACAATTAACCAGAAGGAACCACTTGCCTCCAGAAGTTGTGGGCGCTTCATCACTGGAGGTTTTTAAGAGGAAATCGGACAGCCATTTGTTTAAAATGGTAGAGAGCAGTGATGGCTCACCTTTTCGGCACCAAGCACTGGAATCGTGCACTTGCGTGTGTGAAAGCACTGTCATGCATGCACGCACCCATAATGCAATGTGCGCACGACCCACCCCATGTGTGCCCCACCGCCTCACGTATGGAGG